TAAACGTTATTTTTTTCTTGTCCATTTTCATTTCTGCTTGTGAGAGAAACTATTATTTAAATTTTTTATGAGAGAAAAATACTTTAACAAAATCAGAATCGTGGTTTCAAACGCGTAGGCCAAACGGGCTCCAAGACTTGTCAACAGCGCCATATAAGATAACCAATAATTAATTACTAATTGTTAATTATGTAACATATTAAGGTTGTGTAAATTCTGACTAATTTAACCTTTAACCCCTTTTATCAACTGATGCAGGGCATAACATCCATGCTTATTCCTACAACCACTATGCAACCAGTGTGGCAAGCAAAAATTCTTCTCTCGACTGTGATAAACTTCAATGCTCTTGATAAAAAGCCAATATGCTGGGTGCGTTTGGAACTCGTTCCAAAATGATTTTGTTTTTTTATGAAACTGAAAATAAAAATATTTTTAATCTCAGACAGAAATCATTTTTAAAAATGCGTTTGGTAGTTTTAGCAAGAGATTATTTTCAGTATAAAAAAACTCATTAATGTCTCCCTCTCTCTCTCTGCTCTAGAGAGGAGAAAACGAAAATAAAAAATAAAAAACGACTAAAAGTCGTTTTTCATTTCTCTCATTTTATACTAAATCAAAAAATCGTTTTTATTTTCGTTTTTTTTCTTTATTGCGTCAAACGCCGTTTTGAAAACGTTTTCATTTTTTCTTTCTCGAAAAATGTGAAAAACAAAAATGAGATCAATTCTAAACACGGCCACTATTTTCCTTGTCTTTTGATTGGTCGAGATAATACAATATGATACAGAACTGATTTTCATGAGAAATACTACATCTAATTGCATATATATATATATATATATATTGGCCAAACAGTGCTTGAGAGAGCCCAAAGCAGCTTTCTATGGAGGAGGTATAATAGAAGAAGGATTATCAAAGGAGGGAAACAGGTTGATTGTGGCACAAAATAGAACACACCCATTAGGCAGTTTCTATCAGAAAGTTCAAGTTGAGCAAGGAAAAATCTATAGTTTTTCTGGTATCTCTACTTCCATTCTAGTAGAATATTGATTCTGATTATTGTATCAAGCGAAATAATGTGCAACGGGAATTTTTTTTTAGGTGATTCAAACATCATTATTTCTTAGTTTTGACTCATAAAAAACTGTGATAAATTCAGGTTGGGTTCACGTCAGTGAAGTGAGATTGTAGCAGTTGTCTTTAAACCAGCCAAGGGTGATCTTACACATGGTTATAGCTAAGAGTGGATGCTGGACTCTACTAAAAGGTGGCATGGTCGCCAATTTCTCGAGCCCGGTTGAGATTTTTTTAGAGGTATATTTCGATCTCTGAATTTATCTTCAAGGTTTCGAGGTCTTGTTTTACTCGATTTTTGTTGAACTTGCTTTTTCTCAAGAATACGTCAAAAGAAATATGGATTGAAAATGTCTTCACTTCAGCCATTCACCAAGCAGTGGAGATCCCACCAAGACAAAAGCATTGATAAGGTAAAATGGAATAAAAGAAAAACAATTGTACTTCTTTAGTCTAATAGTTGTCCCTTCAAAAATGATTATTTATGTTAAATGGTTATTATCGAGATGTAACAAATAAAGACTTCGATGTTTATTCAATCGCGCTCTAGCCCCCTTGGCTAATTTTTCTGGCTTGGCCCCTATTTGTTATGATGGAGAGAAATATGAAGGAGGAAGAGGTATACAATTAACACGAGGAAAATAGAGACAACAGAACTTCTCTTATTATGTTTTGTACAAAATTTGGTTTAAACTTATGAACCAAACGACTTCTAAAAGTCCACCAATTACACTGCAGGTTCGCAGAAGCAACGTGAGATTCCGAGTAACCAATGCAGATCAAACTCCATTGGAAGGTGCTCAAGTGTCTATCAAGCAAACCAAGTCAGACTTCCCCTTTGGATGTGCTAGGAACTACCATATCTTCAAAGTGCTGACTATCAAAACTGGTTCTTATGAAGATTCAAAGCCACCACTTTCACCAATGAGATGAAGTGGTACGCCACTGAGAATAAGCAGGGCCAAGAAAACTACACCATAGCAGATGCCATGATGAAATTTGCTCGAAAGAACAGCATTTCGGTTAGAGGCCACAACGTGTTCTGGGATAATCCGAAGTACCAGGCTTCCTGGGTTAGATCTCTTTACACCGGTCAACTGTGAAGTGCGGCGGCGAGAAGAATTAGGTCAGTAGTTTCTAGACACAGTGAAGGCTAATTGCTTGGGATGTGAATGAGAATCTTCATTTCAGATTTTTCGAGGATGAACTTGGTCAAAATGCCTCTGCAGAATTCTACCATGTAGCTCAACAGCTTGATCCAAACACAACCATGTTCCTTAATGAGTATAACACAATTGAATACAGCAATGATAAGACCTCAAGCCCATTTAACTATCATAAGTTAAGGAGATCTTGTCAGTCCATGGAAGAAATGCTAATCTCTCACTAGGAATAGGGCTGCAAGGTCACTTTGGTTCTGGTCAACCAAACCTTGCTTACATGAGATCTGCTTTAGACATTTTAGGTACAACAGGACTTCCCATTTGGCTTACAGAAGTGGATGTGAATAAGGGCCCAAATCAGGTAAATAAATTTATAAATTAAATTCTCTTTAGTTTCTTGAAGCAATGTTTTAAGAAAGAAAGATATGAATGTATCGTTCAGTTTGCCGATTCGAGTTAAGATGTGACTTTATGCAAGAGTTTTTAACAATAGTAGAAAAAGTTAAATGTGATTTTTTGTGAGAACTTTTAACTGTAGCAAAACTAAAATTAGAAACTCGAATTGGTGAAATAAACGATGTTATATTTGAAAGAAAAAATTAGGTGGGTTCCCGGTTTTGACACTTGCTTTTAAGTAATGGCCGAACTTTTCTCTCTCTCGCCTTTTTTTTTTAGTTAAATGACACTTTTTTCTGTTAGATTTTGCATGGGTCAATCACTGATGTACCGTTAGTTTATCACTAATTTACTAATGTTTTATCAATGATGAACCGGTAAATATTTAATGTATTATGATTATCACCGACTGATATTGGTTAATATCACTGTTTGATATTGCTCTATTAGTGGTAAACTACCAAAGCTAATGAATGATAAACCAAAGCAGTCAATCACTGATTAACACCACTTTTAAAAATGACTGTTTTCCCAATTTAACAAAACTATGATCCATCTGCTCATAAATGGCTTAAAAAACGCTCATTTACTTTAAAACCTTTTTTTAAAAAAAATTTAATAACAATGAATTGTTATCATTTTTATATTTTTCATTAGGGCTTTCAATGGCACAGTTACAGATAATTTACTTAAATGGCTTAAAAAACGCTCATTTACTTTAAAACCTTTTTTTAAAAAAATTTTAATAACAATGAATTGTTATCATTTTTATATTTTTCATTAGGGCTTTCAATGGCACAGTTACAGATAATTTACTTGTGTAACGTTAGCTTGTATTAGAAATTTTGTTCAAGAGTTTACAACCAGTTAATCCTATATGGCTGAAACTTGTTTTTTTGCAGGCTATTCACATCCCGCTGTACAAGGCATAATCATGTTTGCTGGTCCGAAAGCAGCCGGCTTTAATGTTGCAATTCTCACGGATATCTACTTCCGAAATACTCCGGCAGGAGATGTCGTAGACAAGCTGATTCAAGAGTGGAGCTCTGAGATTCTGGAGACCAAAACAGACAGTAAAGGATACATAGATGTGTCACTTTTTTATGGAGATTATGATGTTAGTGTAAAACAACCTTTGACCAACACTTCACCTACTATGAGTTTAAGGATCACAAGAGATAACCCGCAAGCAAATGTAAAGGTTCTTATTGATACGTGAAATATCAATTACGTACACTATTGAACGAACCACTCAAAAAAGGCTTTTACTACGGCGATATTCTTTTGCTTGTGCGGTTGAAATATGTCATTTAAAAGAATTAAAAAGCTTCTGATGTTCATCTAAAACGTGACCTCTGCCTAAAAGGACATAATACATAAAGAAAAATATCTGCAGCACTACTTCTATTGAGCACCACAATTAATATAAGGTAATCCTTTCCTACGAACCCACCTTAAACCTTATATTAGTACACAACCGGTGTTTAATAATATTATTCATCCACAAAACCTATTTATCTATACTACATTTGCTAAAAAGTAAATAAATTTTTTAAGAGACAAATTTTAAACATGCGAAACGTTTCGTTCATTTCTCTTTTGTAAGGAAAAAATTAATGAAGCAAATAGTATCTACTTCATTAATTTTTTCCTTAGTTTGTTTTGAGTATAATTTATCAAATTTGACCTTTATAAATATTGCTTTTATAACTATCTATTAAAATATTATTTTTCTTCAGATATGTCACAAAATATCTTTTTACTTATTATATGTACCCCTAAGTTATTTTGTATCTCTTACTACTTAGGTAAATTGTTTTTGTATTTTGTTTACTAAACTGAACTCTTAAGATAATAACAAGTTTTAGACAACAGTAAACTTAAATTTTTAATGAATTTTAGATGTGAGCATGCAAAAAATATAACGTAAGTGCGTAGCGTGTTTCAACTTTCAACTAGTTGGAAATAAAGAAAGAATGATATATGTTGGAATGCTACAATAAGATATCGGTTTGTTTGTGTCTGATTGATGTGTCTGGAAATCCGCATATTATCCTATTATTTTTTAACAACTGTCCATATAAGAGGATGTTTAATTAGAAGATTTAAATCATAATTTAAATCATGATTCATGATTCGTTATAGTATTTTCTCTCATAAAAAATACACGTAAATTAAAAATAATTCTAATCACATAATTTTAATCCATTAACTAAACATCTCCTCAATCAAACCTAATTGACGATTGAGTGGCTATCCCCACACATTATAGTTTAGAAAAAAAAAAATATATATATATATATATTATAAATATACTAAAGAGAGTTGGGGTTTGCTGTTCACGCAACTCAGTTTACTGTTTCTTCTACAGTGAAGTGACTCTTTTGCCCTTCTTTCCCTCCTCTTCCTTCCTTCCGTGCAGGGGCTTCTTGGTCTTTTACTGTAGATAGTACAGTGTATTGCCTATTTTGCCCTTTCTCTCCCTTCAATTGGCAGGGGGCTTTTCTGTCATTTTGGTACACATAAATCCCTGGACCTTCTAGCTTCTTCGATCACTCCAAGCCCCAGTTCGCTAATTTGAGTTTTTAATTTAAGGTGAGATGTGATGTTATGTGAGAGCTTTTTACTGTAATAAAAAAATTAGATGTGAATGTTTCTGAGAGTTTTTTACTGTAATAAAACTCAAATTCTAAACTCAAATCAACGAAACGAAGAGACGCCAATCTCGCCGCCTCTCTCAGACTCAGACTCACTCAACATGCCCTTTCACTCTCGCCTTCTATCTTTCATTTCTGATCTTTCTTCTTCTTCTTCTTCTTCTTCTTCTTTAAGATAAATTAGAATTTAAAGAGTTTTTATTTTCTCTTTCTTTTTAGAAAAGAATTTTCCGGATTGGTGTTTGTGTCTAGCTTTGCTGAATAAATTGTGATTTTTTTTTTTGTTATGCCATAGATTACCGAATCAACCGATCTCAATGAGTTAGCAAACAATGAGCCTTGGCTTTCGTCTTCCAAAGTTGTTGTTAAACCTGACATGTTGTTTGGAAAGCGTGGAAGAACAACTTGGTTGCTTTGAATCTGGACTACGCTCAAGTTGCCACTTTTGTCAAGGAGCGACTTGGCAAAGAGGTATTTTTATGTTTTTCCTCTATTTTCATTCATGCTATACTAAAAGAGTTTTAAACCGAAGGTTGTAAATTTTCTTGAGAAGTTGACTTTGAGCTTAGCTTTCAACTCTGTCTTTGAACTCTTCCTAAATAACTCTATTCCTTTTTTTCCTCTATCTTGCTGTAATAGTGTATTGCTTTTATGATTTATTTAAGTTTTAGGTTTCTCTAGACCGACATAGTGCAGATACATGTGATGTTCTTATAAGTTATAAACTGCTTTAGATTATTTTCTTCCTGTTTATTTATAAATAAACGCTGTTGAGTATGAATCTGTTTCATATATGTATGTTTACGTTTGATCATTTATTGCTCTATTTCACTTTCTATCATTTACTGCTTTATCATTTAATAACCTTTGCCTACATCTTTTTAATGTTTGTGGGCGATATTGAATGTATTGGTTTACTGTAGTAATATTAATCTATGATGTTTGTGTTTGTATTCTCTTTTGTTTATATTTGATTCTGTCACGTTATTAATGGATGTTGCTTATATATAGCACTCACATAAATTGTCTTATGTTGTTCTGTTGTTAATAAATGTTAGAAATTTATGTCTTATCTTTGATTTTCATTATTAAATATTGTTGAGATATTGACTTTCTCTTTATTTATTTCTCTGTGATATATATAGATATGCTTATTTGACATATTTTAGCTTGAATTAATTTTTTATAGGGCGATGGTCATGATAATTTATTTTGATATACTGAGTTCTATCTAATCTGTTTAAAAATTGTTGTGGATACGTTTTCCTCAACTAGATTTAGGTTTGTTTATCCATTTTGGCTAAATTTTTTTAGCTATCTCTCTTTTTTTGTTTCCATTTATTCAAATGATTTTGGATACTTTCGATTACTGTTTCATTCAAGAGTTATTTAGATATATATTAGTTTTATTTTACTTATTCTAATGCTTTTGTGTTTGTGACATAATTGTTACATTGAAAGAACTTCGGTTTTGTTTTTCATTATTTATGGTTTTGAGTTTTTCATTTGGTACATACATATGTTTACTTGATATATTTCAGCTCTAACTTTTTTATGTGGCGATAATGATCATAATTACTTTTGACATGTTGAGTTTAATGTAATTTGTCTAAAAATTACTATGAATATGTCTCCTTCACTTGAACAATGATTATATCTATTTTTTTTCATTAAAACTTTTTGACCATCTCTTTTGTATTCCTTTAACTTATTCTGATTCTTTTACTTTCGTAGCATCATTAATTCGTTCAAAAGTCATTTACATATACATTAGCTCTTTTTTTTAACTTATTCCGGTGGTCTTGCTTTCTCGGTATTACTATATCGTTCAACATTTTTTTTTTTTTGCTTTGTGTTTCTCTATCAGTTTGACCTATTTTGGATTTGTGGTATTTCTGTTTTAAATATTTCAATCAATATTTATTTCTTTATATAACATCTTTACCTTTTTTATCTTTTAATTTGTTTTATTATTTGATTTTGAATTATTCAGTTTGCTCTTTTTATCTCTTTTTTCCTCACTTCCATGTGTGAAGGCTTTTGAGTCTTTACATTGTATACTTTTATCATCAATTTTTTTTATTATTTTTTCGTTTGTTATTGTTTAGGCTGCTTCGATTTTTTTGGAACAAATGAAATTCTAGACTTTATTGCTTATTCAATGCCTTGATTCTATGCACTTCTTTTATTTTACTTGGGCAGAAATGATAGGGTTTATTGTTTCTTCGATGTTGCTGTTTTTTGTATATTCACCAGGCCGTTTTTTGACAATCTTACATTTACTCCAGTCATTTATTTTGTCTTACATACATATAATAATTAGTGCGGTGGATATAATATCTTAATAATTTTTGTGTCTTTGTGTAGTTCCCATAAGTGTTTTTTATTCTGGAAAAAACATTAATCTAGGTAGCCAAAAAATTTCGATAAAAATATAGGACAATCCATTTGTTACACATTACTGAGAATTCTGAATGTCCAAGCCACATGTGCTATATAAAAATATTATTATATTTATCCCTTATTCATATTTTTACTATTTTTCTTTTTTCTTTTTTTGTTTATTCATTTATTTATTTATTTATCTGTTTTTTTTTAGATTTTTTTAACTTCTCTTTTTTTCTTTCAGTTAAATTTATATAACCAAATTTTATTACAAGAGACTTTTAATTTATTTATTCATCTATGAAGGAGGAAACTGAAGACACACATATAGAGACATGAATCATATTGTTTGTATTGTTTGTTCATGAAGTTAATATATGTATTGTCTTTATCTTATTAATTTGTTTTGTACATAGTTATACATAACGTTGTAAATTTTAGATTTTTACCGTTGCAAATGTATGATGACCGTGGACATTTTGATATTATTTATTCCCAGTAAATTATAATTGCAGATATATAATTTGATAAATTTGTTATTACAAAATTATTTGCCTAACTATTTACTATGAATTTTAATATATTGTAGTTAACTAGATATAGGTGATTTAGACAAACATAATTTTTTACTTCTTACTGTTGAAATAATTGCATATTCTAATTACAATATGGATAAGAAAAAAAGAAACAGAAAAACAAAAGCTCAAATACATTGTAAAAAAACTTCTTACTACAATATTATATAGATGTATGTATATATAAACTAATTCTTTACTATAAAAACTTCCAACTTTTTATATATTTTAACAATATTTTCTGCTACAACGCGCGGATGAATGACGTTAAAAATATATTAAAGGAAATTTAGATTATTATTGTTCACCTACACACACTTTACTATTCATTGTACAATGCACTTTTTTTTCCGGTTTGCCCTTGCTCTTTCTTCTCTTCTCTTTGTTTTGTGCGACGGTGTTAGTGTCTTTTTCGTGCCAGGCGTTGTGATTGTTTGTTTTTGCCCCTGCTTCTTGATGACTTTATTTCCTCTTAGGCTTAACTTTTCGGTCGTTTGGCCTCTGATGAAGCCCTCCACCTCATCTCTCTCTTTGATGGGTTTTGGTTTGGCCGCCTCTTTTATTTTTTCCTCTGTGAAAAGTTCGGCCTCCATTTTTTGCTTCTTCGTTCCTCTCATTTCTTGCTTCATCTTCATTATATGGATGTTTCTTGC